GGAGCGGGCACGGGGAGGAGGAGGAGGAGGGAGGGATGCGGGGAGCTCCGCCGCCTTCCCCCGGCCCCAAAGCACCGCGAGCCGGATGCTGCCCTCGCCTCGGCCTCCCCGACTCAGCCCGGCTGCCCCTCGTGCCCCGGTCCCGTCTCCTCCCGCCCCCGCTTCAGGTCCCGAGGGACTTATTTCCCCTCCAAGGACACGGGGAGGCGGCTCAGCTTTACCGCCACCCCGGCTTGTCCCACCCGGGCATGAGGGAATAAAGCAACCCGCAGCCAGAACCGGGGCTGCTGATTTGGGAGGTCCCCAGCCTTCAGGTTGCCGTGACGGGTAAAGGAAAAAACTCATAGCCACGCTGGCATAAGAAGAGGTTTTAGGGGTGCGGGGAAGCACGTCTCCCCTCTCTACTGAGGCTCCTGGAAAGCAGGGCTGGAAGGGACCTCAGGGGTCACCTGGCCCAGGCAGGACCAGCCCTGACGGGACCATCCCAGCCAAGCGTCTGTCCAACCTGGTCTGGAAAACCCCCAAGGATGGAGACTGCACAGTTTCTCTAGGTCGCCTGTTGCAGTGCGTGACTGCCCTCAGAGTCAGAAAGTTTCTGCTAATCTCTAACCCACATTTCCCCTCTTGCAGTTTGAGGCTGTTGCTCCCAGTCCTGCCCCCTGTGGTCCGGGAGAAAAGCCCATCTCTGTCCTCTCTGTAATCCGCCTTCAGGTATTTGAAAACTGTTGTCAAATCCTTCCTCAGTCTTCTCTTCTCTGGACTTTTTTCAGCTTTTCCTCATAAGTCTCATCTCCCCGGTCCCTGATCATTTTTGTTGCTCTGTGCCGGATTCTGTCCAGACTGCCCGCATCCTTCTTGACGTGTGGGGCCCAGAGCTTCTTTGCACAGGGTTATTTTCTGGGTTGTTTTTGTTGGCGGGTAGCTATAATGATGGCACTGGAAGGGTCAAGCAAAATAAATCTGGCCAACTACTGTAGAAAGGATTTCTAGCCAGCCTGATGTAAACTATTGTTTGTGAAAAGTGAAAGGCAAGGATTTTTTGGGTGACATTTTTATTAGCCAACTGCATGGTTGGGGTCAAGCTAGACACGTTTTCTAATTTGGTGCATTCTTTTTCAGGTCTAGGTTCAGTCCTTGGTTCTTTGTGTCCAGCCTGCTTATGAATTTTTGTTCCCAGGCTTGCTTTCTGAACATGCTTGCTAAATTTCCCTTGAGCATGAGGATAGTGCGGCCAGAAAGTGAGTTTTATGCCCCATCAGAACCCACGGGCCCTACACATACCACATGGTGGGATAGACATAGCTCATCCAGTGCCCTCATGGGAACTACATGGGTGAAGCTAGACTAAAACTGCTCTGCAGAATGAACAATCGCAAGAAGAAGATGAAGAACATGGACACAGGTAGGAGAACACCTTTCACAGAAGAACCGCTCGCTTTCTGACCTCACTATCCTCATGCTCAAGGGAAATTTACCACACGCCTTCAAAAGACAAGGCTTGGGATGAACGTTCACAAGCTGGTTGGACACTAAGAACCATTGACTTCATGGCTCATTACAGTCTGTCTGATTCCTCCTAATCTCTTTTGACTCCATTGGCTCCTGAGTCCCTCAGTGCTTTGAGAGGGGATGAGGCAGCTGGGAGCTTCCTCTCTCCCAGGGGTGATGCTTAGGGGGTGCACACAGGTGCATGTGCACCCACTGAGTGTGGAGGTGCACCCCCTGCAAAAAGGCACCGCCAACACTGTTGCTGGCACCTGCGGGCGGTTGCTGCTTGCTGGCAGTGTCTGCGGGCAGTCCGTGATCCTTGCTGGCTGCTGCTGCCGGCGGTGGCTGTGGGTGGTCGCTGACCCTTGGTTGGTGCTCGCCACCCCCACCCCCCACTGCTGACGGCGCCAGCAGCATCCGCAGGAGCTTCCCCACTTACCGCCACTGCGTTCCCACTTGTCCCGCCATACTCCACCCACCACCGTGCGCGCCCCCCCGCCCCCAGCTGCCAGGGTCACATGCTGTTCATGCTCTCTCCCACCCTCCTTGTATATCCTTCTCCCCTGCCCTCTATCCTCTTTCACGTGGAAGCCACTTTGTGGAGCCCGTTGTGCAGGGCAAAGAGATTTAATTTAATTGGCATCATTTACAATAGGCACTACAACAGTGTCTGATCATCTTTGAACCTCCAATGTTCCTTCTTGATTATAAAAAAAACATTCTTGGCAAACTCTTTTGCTTTCATTTGTCTTGCCCCCATCCAAGAATTTCACCTCTAGCGGCATAATACGAATGCCCCTGGCCATCCCTCTTATTCATGGCCCCAGTTCCTAAAACAAACACAATAGACCCAGAATGCTATTCCATTGTTCCTAGCTGGAGTATTCTAGTGACCAGCCTGTTTGAACACGCTAATTTTTTCAATGTAGACCCCAAGGACATTCAGTTAAGAGCAGCAAGGGGGTGCCGAGAGGCAGGGGCAAGGACAGGTGATAGATTGCCTCACGGTAGACTGCCGGCTCCATCCCAAGATCCAACTATGAGCTTTTTAACTGCAATATGCACTTTTGGAGCTGTAATTACCACAGCTGCTGACACCAGACTTGCCCTGCAATCGATCCTACTTTAGGATTTAAAGTATACTCATTCCAATTACAAGGACTTGAAACAGTCCTGTAATGTTATTTTTTGTCACTATCCTTCCGGGGCCAGGAGTGGGTAATTTGTGTGCCTGCTGCCTTCCTTGGATGTGCTAGCCATTTTTCAGGCTCCCTCTCCAGAATCAAACCCTGAGTCCCTATTACCAGCAGTCACCATGCTAGGCACAGAAAGTACCATCGAAAGTTGATAGGGCAGACATTTGAGCAAGTCTTTACCACCACATGGCATACCATTGGTCAGAGGTTATCAAAGCAGCTGGGTGAGCCCGGGTTGGTTTTGATCTGATAAATGCATGCATCCCCAGAGGTCAGTGCTCAATGGCATGTATTAACTCTGAAATTACCACAGTTATCCAAGTAATGGTTGGAGTGATCAAAGGTCAACAACAGTTGATTTAATACGCCATTTACAGTTTCACTGTACCAGCCTTGTGCATTTAGACATGCATGGCTTGATCTTTGAGACAAGCGTATGCTACTGGGAGGATCAACCAGGTAGGTGTGTAGGTGTGGTGCTCATGGGAGAGTGGGGGCATCGGGGAGGAGGGGGTGGGGGGGAGGGTCATCTACTGGTCTCTGGGAGAAGGCCAATGGCTTTCCTTTCTGAAGCCCCTGGCATCCCTGCTGCCCTTTCCTGGGAGGAAGGCACAGGGTCTGCAGTGAAGCAGGCTGGGTCAGTAGGGATAATGGCCCTTCCTAGACCTGATCCAGAGCATGTACAGGAAAGGAGGGCTGAGAGGGAATGCAAGGAACAGGCTAGAGCCCAAATGCTCACTTACCCCCTGTGTCCCCCAGTGGTCCCTTGAGGCAATGTGGAAGGGCAGTGGGCCAGATCCTACTGGCACCCACTTTCACAGCTACTGCTAGAGAAAATGGTAGCTATGAGATAGGGACGGCAGCAGGTAGGCAGAGAGGGAGGGACCTCACATGGCTCCTCACCCCATACGACTGCCTGGACCTGCTGACTCTCACCTGCATCTCTGTGCCCAATCAGACGTCTGGAGGGACTCACAGGGCAGCTTGCCCCCATTAGACAGGGTTCAGTCATACTTCCTCTGGGAAGGGGAGGCACTGCACCCAAGCCCCTCTCCCTGCATGAGAATGCCTCATTTTGTCGAGGGGGGCAGTCATACAAGAAGGGGAGGTAACCACTTTATCTGAATACTGGTGGGGGAACTGCCAGCCCACAAAGGCCCCCTCCCAACATGAACAGGGTTGCCACAGCAATCATTACAGGAGCACAAGGCAGACTAGTGCATGGCCTGAGACTGCAGGAGTGAATGGGGATCCATGAGCTTACCGGGGAGGCAGCCCCATAAATGCTTATGAAAGTTCACAGTGGAGTGACACACACTGAGGCTGACCTCCCAGAGGGGGGTACAGCATAGTGTTGGGACACCACACTGGTCCATGGAGAAAATGCTGGGGCAGGTCAGGGCAGGCAGGAAAACTGGAGCCAGACTGTGGTCTCCCACCACCAGGTGCCCGTCTTCCTCCTCTCCTCAGTCAGGTACAGCATTCAGGTTGGTCCCCGAGGTGTCACAGAGGTGTGCCTGGTAGTGTGCTGTGAATGCCAGGACTGGTCAGGTCGGACAGGACATCCAGCCAGACTGCGGTCTCCCACCACCAAGTGCTTGCCTCTCTTTGGTCATGTACAACACTCAGATTGGTCCCCTAGGTGTCATGGAGATGTCCCTGGAAGTGTGAAGCAAATGCCAGAAAAGCGGGATCAGTCAGGAGAACTGGCACCAGACCATGAGCTCCTGCTTCCAAGCATCCATCTTTCTCCTCTCGTTAGTGGGGTACAACACTGAGGTTTGTTCCTGAGGTCTCCCAGTTCTCAGCAGGTTCTGAAACTGTGTTCCTGAAAATCTCTCCAAACTTTTTTAATAGGATTGGATGGCCCCAGTACCCAGCTCAATCATTAGATCAAGCCAGGTAATGTAGCTGGGCTCCTGGAAACAAAGATGTGCAACAGAGTTTTGAGCAATCCCTTCTGGATGTAACCTGGGTGGTACTCCAAGAGGTACCCCCTCTCCAGTAGAAGGGATCA